AGTAGAGGGCACCATCTCTGTCTACCTTGAGCTCCAGGGTCACAGTTCTCCCTGTTTCGCAGCACCTATCTTTGACATCTGACAGAAAAAAGGTTATGTGCCCATGGTAGCCAGAGTGAGGAGTCCTAGGCCTGGCCAGCCTCTAAATTTAAGGTCTCGAGGGAGGGGAGCATACTTTTCATCACAGAAACTAGGTGGGTTTTGGGAGGGTGAGGCTATTAGGGTAACAGAATGGTGGAATTGCGGGAAGGAGGTAAGTCTTACCTTATCCTTACTGTCGTTTTTAAAATACCAGCAAGGGAAGAAATATATGTTTCCTGACTTTTAACTTTTTTTTTAGTAGTGTGTCTTTTGTACAGAGTTAATACATTCATCATGAATAGCTGGCGCTTGTGTATATCACATCTTAAATCATTTTAACTTTCTTTCGCCTCCCTCTCCTCTCCCTGTCTTTGGAATCTGATGGAAAGGTGTTGTGAGGGAGGTAGGCTTGGCAAGGGCCAGTGCCCCAGATGCTGGCTGCCCTTAAAAGGAAGACTAAGGGAGGAGCCAGGGAACTTCCTCCCCAGTCCTGACCCGACTATTAACTTTAGGCAGACCCGGAGGAGGTTCCCAGACATGGAATTCCTAGACTTCTTTCTTGGAACCAGAGAGCATGCTTTTACTTAGGAAGCTCCACTGGGGTCAATAAAAGGTTGTGTCTCAGGGAGTGTAAGGCACAACACAAAGACCTTATGGAAACAGCAGGAAAGCTGCCTCAGCCCTATGCAGCCCTGCCATCAGCCATGCATGACCCCGTGCAGGATTCAAGCAGGTGGTATATCCAGAAGGGTTTTGTTGTGACTTTTCTACTTAGGTCAGCAGAGAGAGGTACCTAAATAGGGTCAGATCTTGAGATGAGGAGGTTGTCTCAGGCCTTATCCTGGTTAATTTGAAGCCTGAGAATGCCCTTGTGCTTAAAAAAAATGGAACTCAGTTGTTGCCTGTTCTTTTTAAGTCTTCATCATTGTTAATCTTTTATTTTTTATTTAGTAGGTACAGGGTCATGCTACAAAATTCAGACTCCAGTGATCCTCCTGTGATCCTCAGATCATAGTGATCCTCAGCCTCCCCAGTGCTGGGATCACAGGCGTACACCACCGCACCTGGTGTGGGGGCCAGCATGGTGTGTCTGGTGTCTACAAGTTCAGCCCTCACCTACCAAACCAAAATTTTCACCATTCTGAGAACATCCCCTCAAAAGTAAAAAGGCACCACATCCAATCACCTTTCCCAAGTCCTCCCACTGACATCACTTTGTGTTTGTCAACCTGGGAGACTGCAAGCAAGATTAGCTAGATGTGACACCTTCACTTTGTCCGGCAACAGTGTCTCAAAGAGGTGAGATCCTTGCTATGAGGCAGCAGCCGTCTCAGGCAGTAGAAGTTGTAACCACATTTGGCCAACGAGGGAATCCCTGACTCTGTCCGTATTCAAGTTAAGGACCCTTGATAAGGACTGATGGTAAAGAAAGTAAAGGAGGATCCCGTGGAGTCTGGCCATTCCTTGTTCTCATCTCGGGGAGGTTGCAGCTTAGAGTGAGCAAATGGAATGAGTTACCACTTTTGCCACAGGCTCCTCTGGGAGCCAAGACCCTGGAGTTTTTCAGGGCAGTCAGGGATTGATTGACAGATGTGGGTCCCAATAAGTAGAGCATTGGAAAGGCTTTGCTAAGAGTAAAGATGTATACTCTGAGGGAGGACCGAGTGAATCTCTCAATGTAACAGACCCTAATCGTGGATGACTGAATTTATTTCCATTTCACTTTTGTTTGGAGTGTCCTAGGGTGGTGAAACCCTTGGCATTAGTGTGTGACATCAGCAGAAGGAGGAGTTCCAGGATCTTTCAAGAATCAGGGTAAGGTAAAGACATTGAGGAGGGCTGATGGTCCCCCTCTCAAATGCAGAACAGGGGCCCCACAGAAACCACAGCCCTGGCAAGATCTTGGCAGGAGATCTGGCCTGCTTTCTCTTCTTCCATGCATTGAATGGGGGTGTCTCTCAGAAGCGAAGTCTTGGTCTGAAAAAACAATATCTAATCAGCAAAGGATGGTCCGTGCCATGCTAAGAATAAAGATTAATACCTATTATAATTACTCTCTTGTTGCTGGGATAGAATACCTCAAACCCATAATTTAAAAGATAAAAGGTTTATTTAGGTTCCCATTTCATTGCATGGCAGTTGGCTCCAAAGAAGAAATGGTGTACAAAGGACCATGAGGGGAGAGAGATGCTCATATCCGAGCAGATGAGGAAGCAGGAAAAATAAAGGAAGGAGCAGGGGAGAGAGAGGAAACCCTCCCTGGATCTGCATCCAGTGACTCCCACTTCTAACCAAACCCCACCTCCTAACAGCAAGTCAACCAAACGCCCCTGTAATCTAATCATCTTGCAAAGTACTGCCTGTGATTGCATGAGGCTTGGTGTGTGTGTGGCGACTATTTCCATACAAGCTTAACAATAGAGCAGATAGGACACAGCCTTGGATAGGAGTGGCTGCATGTTACATCTCTTCATTTTTGTTTTCACAGTCTCAGGGAAGTGAGAGCCTTGACCTGATCATTGGACAGCAGGTCAGCAGAGGGAGGAGTCCCAATCTCCATAAAGTAAAAAGGTAAGGACTCGCCTGGGTAGGCACTACATCTTACTCCAGAGAGACGGGATCCTGCAGAGTCTGGCTGTCTCCTGTCCCCAGCCATAGGAGGACTCAGGCAAGGCAAACACAATATGCTGTGTCCTAGACTTCTCCACATGTGAGGAAGATGGCTCCAAGAGGTGAGATTTTGTTCTGAAGGGATAGTGTCTTGTCAATAGTGCATGATACAATCTTTGAAAAAAACTGCAGAGGAATAGCACAAGTGGGCCTGATGGACTCCCTGGTGCTGGATAGGACCCAGCCTTTGCAGTCAGCTCCAGGAGACCCAGGTAGTGGTAGCCAGATGTTGTGCCTAATTTATTTCTCTTGTTCTTATGGGACTTGGTCTGAGGAGGACTGTCAGAGGGAGAGTCACATCAGGTCAGCAGAAGGAGCGGCCACAGATGATGTAGGATTTAAGATAAGGACCCTGAGAGAAGACTAAGGGCATGACTCCCCTTTCTAGGACTGAAGGCACACTCATGCCTTGCTGAGACGGTCAGTCTTTAGACCCTGGAGCATGGGGCCACATGTGATGTACACTCACTTCTGTCTTATTGGTATCAAACAATTGAGGGCTTATTCTCAAGACAGACACTGGAGGGGTCCCAGGTCCTGATAGGCATCAGTGTGAAGAACAAAAGTGCCTGTTACGTAGAAGAGATGGGATCCCTAGAGTTTAGCCATTTCTGCTTGTAACCTCAGAAGGCCCTGGACAAGTATAGCACAGGAGCCCACCTCCTCTTTGTCTACACAATATGAGATACTATTCTGGGAGTTTATCTTGTGCCAGGTAAGGGTTAGAATCCAAGGAGAACTTAGAGATGACATACTCTGGAGCTGTGGAGATTTTGCAGTCTGGCTCAGCCCTTCAGCTCTGAGGGACCCAGATCTTTGCTTGCAATCTTTGGCTTGGGAGGCCATCTCAGTTCCTCTTAAAAGAGGTACAAGTATCTTAGTTATGTTCTAGCTGCTGGGACAATACTTGACACCCGCATTTAGAAGAAGAAAGGCTTACTTTGGCTCAGTTTGTAGAAGTTTCAGTCCATAGTCAGCTGATTCCAACATAGGGCAGCACAGCAGAGGGGCATCACAGAGGAGAAACATTCTATGGCATGGCTGGTGAGAAAACAGAAAGCAGCAAGTAGTCAAAGCAGCAAGCAGCTGCAGCCACCTCCTACTATTTTTCTGTCCCTATATATGCCATTCAGGTGTACAAGCATATTGATTAGTGCCACCATACCAAAGGTGGAGTTTCCACTGACTATACCCTTAAGCCCTTCATCATACCCTTAAACCATACTTATGTACCCTATTACAGCCACTTGACAAACTCCTCACCTATAACCATATGCAGCTTTTGGGGAGCACGTAGGTACAAGTCATAACTGGGGTTGAGGACTTTGGTCTGAATCCTATGCCCTAGACCATAGAGAAGATGCCCAGGCAGCATGAGTTGTCAAGGTGAGATGCACACCTTTGAGGACCTTGATCATTGAGGATTTGAGGATCAAGAGTACAGGACACCCTACAGATCTTGATCCTGTGTTTTCTCTAGTCAGGCCAAGTCTTAGGCTGCACCCAGAGGAGCTTTGCATATCCTGCTACAGATTCATAGAGGATGGGCTGACCAGAAAGACATTAGGCCTGTGAGGCTGTAGGACATTGCTCAAAGAGAAGCCCTGTAAGTGGGCTTTTCTTCATGTTACCAATGATCAGACTTTAATGGGGTTCCACAGCTCAACAGTGGTATTATTGCACTAGTGCGTTTGTAACAAAGCACCACAGACTGAGAGATTCAGACAGCAGATGTTGATTTTCTCATAATTCTGGAGGTTAGGTCTTTTTCTAAAATTAATTTATTGAGAAAGAAATAACAATGAGACAGTTTCAAAACAGGTTAGTAGGACAGTTACAATAATTAATACATTGCAAATTGTTGTCTTTGTAGTAGTTATTCATAGTACAAGAAGCAGACATGATATCTTGTCTAAACACTTAGTTCAAACTTTCTTCTTATTGAGCTAAGAGAAAGTAGCTGTATATCTGTGCTATTTTGTATATAATATACATATATATATTTTTTCACTACAAAATGCCCCTTTATTTGTATCCCCCTTTTTGTTTCCTTTTGTCAGAGATGGGTGTTCCACTGCCATTCAGATATTGTAGGTGCCTGAATTACTTCGTGGACTTTTATGCGAGCCATCATGGGCAAGTTTTTCCTTTGAAGCCATTTACACTGTTCCTCTCTCCTCCAGGCCAGTGGGATCCCATCAGCCACATTCCTGTTCACTCTCCTGCTGCTGCCTCCCAGACAAGCCACCATGCATCGCTTTCCAAAGCCCCAGCGTCTTGACTTTGATAAAGCCATCCAGTACCCAGCTGAGATAAAAAAGTTGAAGGAGAGCCTGGGTTTCATGGCTGAGGATGAGGAAGAGTCCTCCATTTCTTCTACTTCTTTAAGTGATGTGCCCTCTCCTGCTCTTCTTTCTCTCTCCCACTCTTCTTCATCTTCCTCTCTTTTGACTTGGAGCAACCCGGATGAGGATGGCCCTGCTATTGGGGTGCCAAGTGCTCCCCAGAGCCCCCAGGGTGCCTCTTCCTCCGTTTCATGTAATATGTTAGATGCAGAGCCCATCAATGAAGCAGTGGAAGAAAATTCAAGCAGCCCAGAGTTATCAATAGACATTGACTCCATCGCTGATGACCTGTTAGGAGGAAAGGTCACTGAGCTGGTGCATGCCCTGATCCTGAAGTATCAGCTGAAGGAACCCATCACAAAAATGGAAATGCTCCAGGTTGTCACTGAAGAGTATGAAAATTGGCTCCCCGTGATCTTAGAGAAAGCTTCTTCATGCTTGGAGATGTTTTTTGGTATTGATGTAATACAAACAAATGCCAGCAGCCACCTTTATGTCCTCGTGAATTCACTGGGCCTTACTTACGAGATGGTGCCGAATGATGAGCACAGCATGCCAGCAAATGGCTTCCTGATATTGATCCTGGGAGTGATAACCATAGAGGGGGACTGTGCCACAGCCGAAGAGATCTTGGCATTCCTGGAAATGATTGGAGTGCATGAGGGGGAGAAGCACTTCATCTACGGGGAGCCTAAGGAGGTCATCAAAGATTTGGTGCGACAAAATTATCTGGAGTATCGTCAGATTCCTAGCAGCGATCCCCCATGCTATGAGTTCCTGTGGGGTCCACGAGCCAAGGCAGAAACCACCAAGATGAAAGTTCTGCAATTTATGGCTAAAGTCAAAGGAACTGAGCCCAGTTTCTTCCGCGATTCTTACAAGGAAGCTTTGAGAGAAGAGGAAGAGAGAGCGCAGGCTGCGGTGGGTACTGCAGCTAGTGCCTCTGCACAACGTTATTGAGTGACTTTTGCTGACCCAGCCGAAGACTGAAGCTAATTGGTTATTCTGTTTTTGAAGGGGAAGGACAGTCAAATTTCTCTTATGTTGAATATGAATTTATTTGCAAAATTTCTGTTTTTTCATTCTTCCTTTTTTATTAGTGTATGTTTGCAACACATAATGAATACATTCACTGTGAGAGATTGGTACATATATGTATTTCATCTTAATCTCTTCTAATTTTTCTCTCTTCCCTTGCATAGGCCCCTATCTCCAGGACCTCTGCCCACCTCCTCATGGTATATCTCCCTGTTTACTATAATCTAGTCTGTATATTGCTCCTAAATTGTTTATATATTGTTTCTTATAGAAGATAAACTGTATAAAGTTTGAACTTGTATCTCATTTATTTCACTTAACACTGTGATCTCAAGGGGCATCCATTTTCTTACAAATGGTGCAAATGTTTTTGTTTTTATGACTGAATAGTAATACATTGAGTATAGATATATTTCTTCTATCTATTCATCTGCTGCTTGGCATTCACACTCTTTCCACGATTTAGCCATTGTGAGTTGTGCTGCTTTAAACACGGGTGTGCATGTATGACTGTAATATGATATTTGGGAGGCATTTTGTTGGGTCAAGTGGAACCTCTATTTGTAGTTTTCTGGGGATTTTCCATACTGACTTCCATAGTGGTTGCACTCCATCCTGCTAGTAACAGGGAAACATTCATTTTCCCCTACAACCTCACCAACATTTATTCTTTTTGTTTTCTGAGTTCATGATGACAGCCATTCTTTCTGGAGTAGTGGTATCTGCACAGTTTGATTTGCCTTTCTCTGATGGCAAAATGTGCTCAACAGATTTTTTTCATGTATTTACTGGCCATTTGCACTTCTCCTAGGAACCATCTGTTCATTTAAATTGTCTCCTTTTTTGATTGGCTCTTTTATTTTGTGGAGTGATTGTTTATTTTTATTTATTTATTTATTTTTTTTGAAAATTTGCTATATTCTAGACATTAGCTCTCTGGGGAGCCACTGGCAATTTTCTCCACGTTGTGGGTTGTATTTTCAGTATGTTGGTTGTTTGCTGTGTAGAAGTTTTAATTTGATATAATCGCATTTGTTAATTGGTGAAGTTATTTCTTGTGCAACTGGGGTTTTGCTCAGAAAGTCTTTGCCCTGAAGAATTTTACGTGTTTTTCTTCCAGCAGGTTATTTTTGTTTTCATATATGCCTTTGATCAACTTGCATTTTATTTTCATACAGGATGAGAAATATAGATTTGGACTCAATATTCTGCATATGAGTACTAGTTTTCCAGAACCATTTGTTAAGGAAGCCATCTTCTTTGGCCCCTTTGTCAAACAACAGACAGCTGAAGATGTGGCACGGAGGTTCTGCATCCTCACTTCTACTCCATGAATCTACACACCTACTTTTGTGCCAGGACTATGATGTTTGTATCATTGCAGCTTTTGAATAGAATTTGAAATTTAGGGTTGTGAGGCCTCCTGATTTGTTCTTGCTGCCCAGGATTGCTTTTGCTAGTCTAGATGTCATCTGGTTCTAAATAACACATATATTTTGTTCTATTTTTGTGAAGAATATTTTTGGTGTTTTGTGTGAGGTTGCATTAATTCTCTATGCCATTTTTGTTAATATGGCCATTTTGACAAAATTCTATGTAGGGGGGCTCAGGATCAGGCAAGGGCAAAAACAATAGAGGATTTTTTTTCCTGTTCTGTATAGTGTGCTGGTTATTTCATCTATTTTCCCTTTGCAAAATTTAAAATGTTATTTCTTTTAAAAGATTTATTAGCTTTAGAATATAAGTGTATGGGGCTGGCCAGATAGCTCAGAGGATTAAAGCACCTCCTTAGGCAGACTCCAGGGACTTGGGTTGGATCCCAGTGCCATGCCGGCCTCGCCCCCAGGGTGCGCTGAGATAGAGATTGAGACTGGCCATGGCGTGCACCTGTGATCCCAGCTCTTTGGGAGGCTGAACATAGGAGGATCACTATGAGTCTGATCTGTGTAGTGTGACCGTATAGACCCTACAGAACCTGTAGACTCTGTACTAAATAGAAAAAAAAAACTCAAACAAACAAAAAAATATAAGTTTATTGGCGGCCTTGGTCAAATTTGCTGTTTTTTTTTTTAAATCAGGTTTTAAGAAAATACAAAGGAAAATATACAAAATATTTATTTTCTTGATTCTTTTAAATTTTTTAGTTTAGTCTGTAAGATTTAATATGTAACTGGACTTGCTTGGCTTGGTCAGCAAAGTAGGAAAAAGTTCTTACATTTTAGTAAACCAAGCCACAGTTCCTTCTGCGAGAGTTAGTTTTAAATGAAACTATAGTTGGTGGCAGAGGCTGGGGTCTTAGTGCCTTAAGTGAAGAAAAAAGCCTTGAATGGAAAACTTCTCTGAGAAGTTCCTTTTCGATTGAGGCCAAGTCCAGGAAATTTCCATTTGGGCAGGTGTGGAATGGGCTCATGCTCTTGTCCCGCCACATGTGAGTTCAGTGCATGAGCTAAGTGTTATATACACAACAACTATAAGGATTTCCTGGAAACATGATGGTACTCCCTGAAGATGATGCACAAAGCCACCAATCTAGCACTGTTTTCCCTGCTTTTGTAGGGCCAAAACTCTCTGCATTCAAATGAATTTAACTTTTAGATATTGTTTTAGCTACTTTTTGTGTTGGAATACTTGTTACTCATGAGCTACAGGAGGAAAGGTTCATTTCAGCACAAAATCTGTAGAGGTTTCAGGCCACGGTCTTCTGGCTCCAAAGCTGACTCTAAGGTGGCACAGTAGAAACAGTCCAATGACATATTTTTACACAGAAATTTACTTATTTTTTTGAAGGAAGGAAAGGATTATTTAGCTCACAGTTACTGGAGGTTTCAGTCCATATTCAGCTGGGTCCAAGGCAGAGCAGCACATAGCAGAAAGCAACTTTTCATGGAGGTGGCAAAGAGCAAGAAAGCAAGGGAGGTATAGCAGCAGCTCAAGCAGCTAGCTTCTCTTCCCACCTTACATTATAATGCAAATTACCTGCTCCAGGGCAGGCATAGCATACATAACCACAATAATCAACCACTAACTGCAGAAGCCACCCGATGACTGCAGAAGGCTTTGAGGGGACACCTATACACAAACCATAACAGTCTCCCACACTATGTGATGTAAATGAGACTGCTAATTAGACCTCCTCATCCACTAATCATATGATTCATTTTCTTAAAGTTTTCCTGACTGGAAATACCCTTTTTTTTCTTCTTCTTCTTTTCTTGCGGAAATGAGGATTGAACTCAGACCCTTGCATTTGCCAGGGAAGTGCTTATCCTACTGAGCCATCTCCCCTGTCCCCAGAAGTAACTTTTTTAAAAAAATATTGAGAAATATCAATGAGATAGTTTCACAACCGATTACTAGCACATTTTCAATAATTAATACATTGCATATTGTTGTCTTAGTGGTTATTCATTGTACAACATGCAGATATGATATCCTGTCTCAAACACTATTAGAACAAACCTCTCTATTTATTGAATTGAAAGAATGGAGCTGTAGGTCCTAACTATTTTGAGTATGCACATGCAAAATCATTGTTTGATACCTCTTTCTCATTTAATCATATACCTTAAGGATTTAACCCCAGTTGTTAAGAGTTATATTCCACTATAAGAAAAGCAGTAAATTTACAGAAGACTCTAACACAGACATGTCAAGATGGACAGAGATCCTGATGCTTTAAGGCACTGATCTCAGTCTATCCAGGGGACTCTTCTGCTTCAGTGTGAGATGATTTCTAGCAACTATAAATGAAAGAACTCTGTCAAACTCCCCACTACATTATAAATTCCTTAAGAACATGAATATGTTTATTTCTCCCATTAATGTTACAGACAGAAGGCATAGAGTAAATTATTTCTGGACTGAGTCCTATCCTTTAGTAGGTCTAGCCTAGATTAGTGACAGAGAAAGAAAAGCTCTCTTCAGGGAATTAGGATGTAAACTCAAGACCGAAATAACCAACATGTGACCTGAGTAAATCACAGCATTTCTCTGACTTTGATCCTATCTGGAAAAAAAAAGGTTAAGCTTGTTTAGATCTAAATTACAAAAATATATGATTGTTAACTTTATTTTTTTCTTCCATAATTTTATTGATAAACAAATAGCAATGAGACAGTTTCAAACCAAATTGGTAGGACAGTTTCAATAATTAACACATTGCATACATTCTTCCTAGTGGTTATTTGCTGTAAAAGATGCGGACATGATATCCCATTTACAAACTCTATTAGAACAAATCCTTCTTTTCATTAAGAGAATGTAAGTATATATCTATCCTAACCATTTATTTTTTATTTTTTTAATATTTACTACACAATTTTATTTATTTTATTTTTGGTATGACAGTTTCAATAATTAACACATTACATACTCTCTTCCTAGTGGTTAATTGTTATACAAGATGCAGACATGATATCCTATTTACAAACACTATTAGGACAAATCCTTTCATTCATTAAGAGAATGTAACTATATATCTATCCTAACCATTCTGAATACACAGATACAAAATAGACATTCATCTGTATCCCCTCTTTTTGTTTAGTTTCATTATTGAATACTATAGGTGTGTTAATTCAGCAAAATATTCTAAAAGAGTCCAGTAGTCCAAAATAGTATTGGGTCTTCCACTTCACTGGCAATGTCAGAAATTGTTGACCTGAGTCCCCTACAGCTCAACATAACAGCATGGCTTTATTTCTTATACTTCGTTTTTATACTTTTCTGCTGGATGGTTAAGACCAAGATAAAGCAGGACCTATGCAACAAGAGTTGTAGCTTTGGGGTCTGATAAGGTCAGTGAAATCCCCTCAGGATTTGTCCTATGATCCTGTACCTCAGATTGTAGATCCTTTGTCAGTGTCAGCCATGAGGATGAGTCATGGCCATTGCTTGGGCAATGTGCTCTTGTGAAAGCCTAA